CAACAGCCAACTGAATGTGAGCCAGTACCAGGTCCAAGTGGCCCGTAAGGGCAACAGCATCCTGGCTTGTATCAGAAACAGTGCAGCCAGCAGGGCTAGGGAAATGATTATCCCTCTGTACTCCGCATTGGTGAGGCCACATCTCAAGCACTGTGTCCAGGTCTGGGCCCCTCACTTAAAGGACACTGAGGGGCTGGAGCGTGTCCAGAGAAGGGCAACAAAGTTGGTGAAGGGTCGGGAGAGCAAGTCATATGAAGAGCAGCTGAGGGAGCTGGGGTTGATTAGCCTGGAGGAGGCTCAGGGGTGGCCTTATGGCTGTCTACAACTAACTGAGAGCAGGCTGTAGCCAGGTGGGGGTTGGCCCCATCTCCCAGGTAACAACTGACAGAACAAGTGGACACAGCTGTGCCAGGAGAAGTTTAGGTTGGACATTAGGAAGAATTTCGTCACAGAAAGGGTGATTAGACATTCAAACAGACTGCCCCAGATACATGGTGGAGTCACCGCCCCTGGAGGTGTTCACAGACAAACTGGACATGGCACTCAGTGCCATGGTCTAGTTGACATGGTGGTGTTAGGTCATAGGTTGGACTCAATGAGCTCAGAGGTCTTTTTCAACCTTAATGATTCTGTGATTTTGTGATGTGCATGAATACTTAATTAGAATGAGTTTCCTCGTGGCTTAGAGTGCTGCCGAGAAAAGGCTGGAAAAGAACTACTCAGACTTGTATCTCTGAGTAGCAGGTGTTTGTTTATTCAGGGCTGGGCACAAGGGGGATCGCTCCACCAAACTTGTGCAACCAGGGACAAAAACTTCACAGTTCATATACATTACATGCTCATACATATTCGTTATTTCCAGGAATAGGTGGTTATTATAATTAGTTCTCAGAAATCATTATCATATACTCCTCCTTTGTCTCCTCCCTCCTGGCATCAGTCCCACGGTCCTGGTGGTTGTTCGGTGGTCGTGAAGATGAAGTGCCTCCTCTTGCTCAGTACCCTTTGGACACCCTTATTATGCAACCATTTACCCCTTTGTACAGTTTTGCATGCCTTGCTGACCTTGCCTCTATCTTGAACATTTTGTTTCTCCATTCCACACCTTATATAGTCTTAGTTTTCCTTCTACTGCCAAGGTTTGAGTCTAGTTAGTTCCACTGCCTTATAGATAAGGGGCATCGTTTCACCAACCAAGCCAAAACAATACCATTAGTGTAGCTTCTCATCTGTACTATGCAATCCTTGCTATTTTGCTAATTAAGCTGAAATAGTGCTATTAGTAAAGTTATCCTTTATGCTTTCAGCTTTAACCGTTCAATTCCCGCTTTCAGTCTACTACTCGGTATCAAGAGTGCAGAAACCAATCACACAAGTAGATTCATTTTGCACATAGTTAAACTAAGCTCTAATATCCATCCTGCTACTTTGCTCATCCTTCAGAGTCCAGATTATTCCACTCACATGACACATGGTTATTACACTGGTGCTGTGATTGGACTTCTTGCAGACATATTCCTTATAGAACCTTATCTCTCCTCCCCTTCTCTGTGGATGACCACAACTTATTAGCAAAATTTGGAATTATGACAAGAAAAAAGCCCCAGAGTTGCACAACTGACCAGGTGTGCTTCATTGTTAAACAACTAGACTAGTTTTAAACTTGTTTCAGCTCTGTGTTAGATTTCGGACTCGGCAACGTACCGAACATTTCATTAGACACCACTTACGAGCTGTGCCTCAACAATTGCCGTGTCAGGCAGCAGCAGGAGCCTCAGCCAGCTGCCAGGCCCTACAGCCACAGCCCTCCCGACTGACGGCTCCTGCAGGCTGGAGAGGGCCGGGCCCGCAGCGCCCGCGGAGCGGGGCCCGCCCTGCCCCCG